TCACATGAACAAGGAGGAGGTCACACTTAGCAAACTTCAAGGGCTTTTGAAGACCGCTGAAGCTGGTCTTAAGGGCAAATCGGTTGTTACTACTCCTACTCCTACCGCCGTCCCTGTTCTGGCAATCGGGCAAAGTAGAGGGAGGAAGAGGAAGACCCCTTCGAAGGGTACCGAAGGAAAGTCTCTTGATGGCTCCTCTTCAAGTGGAACCAAAGGTGGTTCTGTCACTCCTTCTTCCAACCCAAAAGAAGCTCAATGCTTCTATTGTTAGGAAAAGGGGCACTGGAAACGAAACTGCCCCAAGTACCTGCAAGATGTTAAGGATGGGAAGGTCAAGCCCACCCATGCAGTGCCTAAGAAGAAGTGAGGATATGGAGCACGGAAAGATAAACTTGATCATGGGGAATAGGAAAGCTTCACCTGTCACCAAGATTGGAGTTTATTCTTTGTTGCTAAGTAGTGGGTTAGTGTTAGATTTGAATAAGTGTTGTTACTCGTCTGAAATGGCGAGAAATATTATTTCTTTTAACGGTTTGTATAAACAAGGGTTTACTTTTTCATTTGATAACGAATGTCGTGGTATTAATGCTTTTTATAATAATGTTCTTTATTTTAAAGCATTAACTTGTGATGGTGTATATGAAACTGTGTCGGTTGTAGATAACTTAGGAAATAATGTGTTACATATCGATTCTTCCACTAGTTTGGATAAGGCATCCTTGTGGCATTGTTGTCTTGGACATGTCAACAAGAAGCGCATAGGCTAACTCCAGAAGGATGGAGTCTTGGAGTCATTTGACTTAAAGTCAGATGATAGTTGCGAGTCTTGTTTGCTTGGAAAAATGACAAAGTCATCCTTCACTGGTACTTGTTCTAGGGGTGAAGGTTTGTCGGACCTCATACACACAGATGTGTGTGGACCCTTCAGAACCGCCACAAGGGATGCTAACCGCTTCTATGTGACCCTTTACTGATGATTACAGTAGATATGGTTATGTCTACTTAATCAAGCATAAGTCAGAAACCTTTGAAAAGTTCAAAGAGTTTAAACAGGAAGTGGAGAATCAGTTGGGTAGGAACATTAACATGCTCCTATCCGATTGAGGAGGAGAGTATCTTAGTATAGAGTTCCTTGACTATCTTAAGGAATGTGGAATTGTTTCACAATTGAAACCTCCTAGGACACCACAGCTGAATGGTGTGGCTGAGAGGCGCAATCGAACCTTGTTGGACATGGTTCGTTCCATGATGAGTCGAGTTTCGTTACCAATCTCATTCTTGGGGTATGCCTTAGAGACTTCCGCCCATATCCTTAATCTAGTCCCTACCAAGAAGGTTGCCAAAACACCTCACGGGATGTGGACTGGGAAAGTTCCCAATTTAGACCACATCAAGATTTGGGGTTGCGAGGCTTTCGTGAGACGTGAGACTCAGGACAAGCTCGAACCTCGTAGTGAGCGGTGTATTTTCATCGGCTACCCACAAAATTCTTTTGGTTACCTCTTCTATAGACCCAGTGAGAATGTGGTCTTTGTGGCGAGGAGAGGGGTGTTTCGAGAGAGAGAATTTATAAGCCAAGGAAACAGTGGGAGGCAAATTGATCTTGAAGAAATTCAAGAGTCAAGCGGTGAAGGAACCTCAAACCCTAGTGATCAACCTGAGGAGGAAACTCCTATTGATGAATCCGTACCTCTGAGGCGTTCCACAAGAGTTAGGAATCCACCTGAGCATTACTATGGTTTTCATATTACTGCGGAAGGTGATGCATTTATCAGTGATGGTACACTGGTAAATATGGATGAACCTAACAGCTTTAACGAAGCCATGGCAGGCCCTGAATCTGCCAAATGGAAAGAGGCCATGGATAGCGAGATTCAGTCCACGTATGACAATCAAGTTTGGAACTTGGTGGACAATGTACCGGGTCGTAAGACGGTCGGGTGCAAATGGATATTCAAGAAGAAGACCGACATAGATGGGAATGTACACACTTGTAAAGCGCAACTGGTTGTGATGGGCTTTACTCAAACTCTGGGAGTTGATTATGATGAGACCTTCTCACCAGTAGCGAAGATTAAGTCTATTAGAGTTTTGCTAGCCATAGCTGCATTTCATGATTATGAAATATGGCAAATGGATGTCAAAACCGCTTTCCTTAATGGAAAGTTGGCCGAGGATGTTTACATGAGTCAGCCAGAGGGTTTTGTCGATGCAAAGCACCCTAATAGAGTGTGTAAGCTTGAGAAATCCATCTATGGATTGAAACAAGCATCTCGCAGATGGAATCTTTGTTTCGATGAGAAAGTCAAAGAGTTTGGGTTTTTGAGGAGCGAAGATGAGTCCTATGTATATGTTAAGGCCAGTGGGAGTATAGTTAGCTTTTTGGTATTGTATGTGGATGACATACTACTCATAGGAAATGACATCCCAACCCTGCAGGAAGTTAAGTCCTGGCTTGGGAAGTGTTTCGCTATGAAGGACCTTGGAGAAGCTGCCTATATCCTAGGGATAAGAATATTGAGAGACAGGAGTAAGAGACTAATTGGACTTAGTCAAAGTACCTACTTGGATAAGGTGCTGAAATGGTTCAGCATGTAGGATTCCAAGAAAGGTGATTTACCAATCCAGAATAACGCCAAACTGAGTAAGACTCAGAGCCTGAGTACGGAGGCTGAGATAGCTGAGATGAGTCGAGTGTCGTATACTTCCGCTATAGGCTCGATCATGTATGCTATGACTTGTACTCGCCCTGATGTGGCCTTTGCTTTGAGCATGGTCAGCAGATATCAAGGGAGTCCGGGCAATGCTCACTGGACTGCGGTGAAGAATATTCTCAAGTACCTACGGAGGACTAGGGACTGGGTCCTTACCCTTGGTGGGAGTGATGACTTGAGAGTAGTGGGGTATACTGATGCTGGCTTTCAGACTGATAGGGATAATTTCCGCTCTCAGTCAGGCTGGGTCTTTACCCTAAATGGAGGAGCAATCACTTGGAAAAGTTCCAAACAGGAAACAGTGGCTGATTCAACTTGCGAATCAGAGTATATAGCGGCAAGCGAGGCAACAAAAGAGGCAATATGGCTAAAGAACTTCATTGGAGACCTTGGAGTTGTACCGGCTATTAAGGAGCCTATGCAGATTTTCTGTGACAATGAGGGTGCATTTGCCTTAGCTAAGGAACCAAAGGATCACGGCAGATCCAGGAACATCGACAGAAAATACCATTTCATTAGACATCAGATATAAGAAGGACTCCTTGTGGTGAAGAGGGTATCATCGGATGAGAACCCAGCAGATCCCCTCACGAAGGGACTGTGTAGGGCTAAGCATTTGTAGCATGTGAGGCGCATTGGGCTGAAGGATGATACTAGTTTTACAGATTAGATAGATTTTTCTAAAACTTGTAAAATGTAAATTGACATTTGATGATTAAATAAAAGTTGTTGTTTATTTATAAGTAAAGTGTTGCTATCTTGTGTCAATTGTTTACTATTGTTTCAATTTTGCATGTTTTAACTTCCAGAATAATTACTTTATTCAAACTCTCCACAGTCAGTCATATGTTGGAAGTAGATATGAATCAAGACTGTCACGAATTGGGTTTGTAGATGTCTTAGATGTTAGACATAGCAAAAGTTGCTACAATATTCATGAGTGCTCATTCTGAGTATTGGATTCAACCTACGCTCACTTATATCACTTCATGGAATTTATCTCGAGTGATCGTGAGACGGTAATATAATATAAGTCTTCAAACCTAGATATATGAGTTGTTGATTATGAGTTGGTTGTGCATTGATTGTACGAAACCGCATCGATAACTTGATGTATAAAACGTGCTTTTGTGTATGATTCAACAAGTAGTTAGTACAAGCATATGAGTCGAAGTTTATCTGTTCCTTTTAGTCCTTGGAGGATTAAAAGTGATATCTGGGCCCCTCGATGATTTTGTTTTGACCTATGTACCGGGCCCGGTCAGAACCAAATTGATGTGTTCAGTTTAGTTCTATGTCAAACAAATCGGAAATCGGGAAACAAATTGCTAGACAATAAGTACGACATTGTTCCATGTATTTGTCCGGCTGATATCTAGAACAGAGGATTATGTGATCACTTATCTTAAATGGCGCATCATCATCTTAGTTTCGCGAGACTTTGAAAGAGCTACGATTGCTGGTCGGTTCCTGAAGTCATACTTGCAACTATAGTTATTAGACTTTTCCAAGTGGGAGACTATTGGATAAGGTGTCTAAGTCCGTAACTATATTTGGTATGTACTTGACCCAACTTGGCATGGTCCATTTGGGTTGCTCGGCATCTCAACAATTGGATAAACAAAATGAGAATAATGACACTTATGATTTGTTAATATATTCTAATATATTAATATGAAATCATATTATTTAATTAGTATTGATCAAGAATTAATTTGGAATTAATTTTTTGATCAAAAGAGACTAATTAAATATATGAGGATTGATTATGTAAATCTTTCATTCTTATATAGTGGGCTTATGGTCCATGATTCACTAGATTGGGCTAGGACCCATTGGGTGCTCCATGGATGCTCCATGGAGGTTAAAACCCATGGATCATGGGGGAAATGAAAAGTCATGCACATTATGGTTTACATGGTGTAACCCTACATGTGACACACTATAAAAGGAACCTCATATGGAGCAAAATCGGCCACTAATACAAGAACAAGAGGGCTAGCCGATTTTTGACTGAAAGTGTTCTTCTCTCAAGTTATTCCAAGAGTTGTGGTGTTGTGTGAAACATTTGAGGCATCACATTTGGGGTGCTAGGCTCACAAGGTCTTAAGGAATCCAAGCAACAACAAAGGTATGTCATTCTACTAGTTTTTTTTATATTACAAGTACCCCATGCCATGCTAGCTAGGATGAGAACCTTGGAAAATCAAATTTGCATGAATATTAGAGAAATCATAGATCCAAGGTTTCTAGGGTTGCATGTACAGCATAGGAGTGTTAGAATGCTCAAAACCCATCAAAAACATCCTACATTCACAGTGTGAATTTTTAAACTACATTTTATATTTAATAAACTCTATTAGAACAATGAGACATACCTTGTAACGAGTATTAGGACAATGAGAAGGAAGAATATTTCGATAAAAATCATCAGAATCTTCATCCTCATTCACATTTTTATCAATCAACTTTTTTTTCTTCTTATCTCTCAAAATATAAACTTCACTTTCATCTTCAATAACTACAGATTCTTGAATACAATAAAACACGGATTTGTATAACACTTTCTGAATGTCCAAGAAAATATTATGTGTATAAATTTCCGATGCATGCTTTTCAATAGCCAAAGGAGTCCTTAGCTTGGGGGTAGTAGTTGTGGACTGATAATCTAATAAAGATTGATGTCGTCTTTGCTTCTCCATTGCACTGTCAAATGACATCATGAACTTCACCAAATTTGATTTATGATGCAAAAAATGTGAGAAAGCATAATTCAGACTCTCTAATCTTGAAGTAGTTCGTATCAAACCAGAAAGTTCAAGATCTCTCATAAAAGTCGGAATCCATAAATCCCTTATTTTAACAATAGTCTTTAACTAGTCATTTTCTTTTAGATGAAACTTATCTAACATTGTTGACCAGGAACTTTCAAAATCTTGTGGAGAACATTGAAGATTCCATATAATATCAAAAAACGTCTTTTGGAAGTCTGGATGGTTATAAACATCGATAGGAATCTAAAAAAAAGAAACACATAAGAATCATTACATAAGTTGAATATTTGATGTAATTCATAGTAACATAACATTTGTTTCACATTATGAATTCACGGTGTGATTTATGATTTAGATTTGTTTCTTTCATCATATGCAAATTTACATTGTGAATTCACAGTGTGCTTTATGATCTATAGGGTTATAAATATATATAGGAATCAAGAAACAAAGAATATACCTTTTCCTCAAGTTTTTGAGTGATGTGCCACATGCATAGTCTATGCTTGGATTGAAAAACAAAATTAACAGCTTTCTTCATTGATGAATCCTGATCTGTTACAATCATCATGGGTGGCTTGACAAATGCTTTATGAAACTCTTCAAGCAACCACACATATGCATCTGCTGTCTCACGATCTAGTAAACCAGGACCAAAGGTAACACAATGCTTGTGGTAGTCAACTCTAGTAAAAAGAACAAATACCATAGAATACCTTTTTTTTATAAGTATTATTAAAATAAACAAATACCATAAAACGAACAAATAAGTATTAGGAATTACTTGTTTGTTTGATAAGTAGCCTCAAATGATAGTACATCTCTAAATTCCTTATAGTTGGCTTTCGAAGTATCATCAGCCCAAAAAAGTCCAGTAAGATGATCATCAACATCTTTTTGGACCTCAAATGAAAAATTAGAGAAACACAATCTTCTGTTTGTCAATATATCCACAACCACTTGGGAATCTTTGACACCAATTTTAGAATTCAAATCTCTATGAAAATTTTTGAAGTCAACTGCAGTCCCTCCCCTAGAATCAAAGCCACCCTTCACACTAATCACCAAGTTATAAGTTTTTGAAGCACCAATGTTACAAGTACCAACCTTATGAATAAAGGATTCATCAAGAAAATCAGTTGTCCTATTAATCCGTAATAAGTGCAAATGATCTTGAGCAACAAGTTCATGGTTGTGATCTTCAACAAACACATAAATGTAGAACATTAAAGAACATCGAAGATTCTTGAACTTTGAAACAGCAGGGCATCCGTTCTTCGTAGAAGAAGTTCTCCATCTCTTAACATCTGAAAATTTCAAATTAATATTTTCATTCTTAAATGACTCCGTGAAACCAGATCTACTACATGTGGAATATCTAATACGAATTGTGCCATCATTGTATCTTTTTTGACTTAACATATTCACATCAAAACCAGATTCCTGACCATAAGTCTTGTAAAAGTCAAGACCAATGTCCAACGAATCAAACAACAATCCTTTGAAAGGCTTCTTATGTATCAACTTATCATAACGAACAAGCTCAAAAGACTCAGTATTGTAGAGCTCAAAATCAAAACTATAACGAGAATTACTGCTATTTGAATGATCAATATTCATACTTGAAGATGATTGATCATGAACTGCAAAAGCAAAAAAAAACATATATTTTATTACATTACATAGAAAATGTGAGATTTAAATTAAGAAAAAAAACTTATGTGACTATTCATTAATAGTTGAATGCAAATCTGAACAAGAATTACTGCTATTTGAATGATCAATATTCATACTTGAAGATGATTGATCATGAACTGCAAAAGAAAAAAAAAACATCTATTTTATTACATTACATAGAAAATGTTAAATTTATATTAAGAAAAAAAAAACTTACGTGATTGTTCATTACTAGTTGAATGCAAATCTGAACAAGAATTCAGAGAACTCATAATGAATCGGTAACCTGGAGTTTATATAGAGATTAGAATTGATAATGATACAAAAAGGAAACAAATAAACAAGATAATCACAAAACTTTAAAATATATGCACAAGATAAGATAAGATTCTCAAAATCACTAAAAGTTTGGAGATAACTTAAATGTCAGAAGATGCACAAGATAGAATTGATTATCTAAATGTCGAAGATGCATTACAGACGAATGATTAAAAAAACGACCAAAGCAAAAACAGTAACATCAAACGGATATTCAACATACGACATAAAATTAGCAAATTAACAATAAAAACATAACTATTTGAAGATTAAACGGTAAAATCAAGAGAATTTGACAATCAGACCGATACAATAACAATAAAAATAAGTTGATAAACAATGCATCGGAAGAACAGCGGTAAAATGAAAATCTATAATTGACCTAATAATCATAAACGAAAGATGAATAGATGTTAAAAATACCTGATTATTAACTGAAATCTGAAGAAACTATTAGTAAATTGGATGAAAAAGGTTGAGATTTCGAAGAACAGGCGAAATTTTGGATCGATCGGTGTTGAAGATGAAGGACAGTAACATAAGAAGCTAACGCAGACAAACAGGAATATTAAATGAGACACTAAAATTACCAAAATGCCACTCCGTGTTTTTTGGTTAAATAAGGGTTAATGGCCAAGATTAAAAGAAAATAGATGGTTAAGATGGGTTCCTTGGTTCCTTGATCCATATTGGTTCTCTATTGAACTTTTATATATATATATATATATATATATATATATATATATATATATATATATATCAAGTATTAAATATGATAATAAATGGAAAATATGTATATATGTAAAGTATTAAATCTATCATAACAAATAAATATAATTTTTGTCAAATGTCAACGTCTCATTTAATTTGTCACATGTCATTTTTTCGGAATTTTAAAATTATTTTTTTTCACTTGTCATTTTCAAGTTGGTTGTTTTTTATTCAAATGTCACAAACTAAATTCCACTTTATACTAATTAAATTAATTAATATATATTAAAGTAAATAGTAACATTTTTTTTGCGAATTCCTATATTTTAGGTTTGGAATAAAAAGGAAAAATGCTTTTTAAAACACATATTTAAACTATAATAATAGAAAATATTATCGATTTTAAAATCAAAACTCTTAAATAAACGAGTTAAATTCGTAAAGTTGAAAAATAATTTTATTATTATTGAGATTTGAATCGAAACTTGCAAATCATAATAATAAATCAAACCTTTTTAATGATACTTTGTAAACAAAACCTTCTAATTATTTTCTTTCTGATGATATTTTTTAAAAACAATGATTATATATATATATATATATATATATATATATATATATATATATATATATATATATAATATATATATATATATAAATTTGTTGTCAAATTTATTAATGTTTAAGTATTTTCTTGCGACTAGGATGTTGTATTATTAAGCATTAGCATGATGACTTGAATTCATTATAAGTTGCTTCAACATGTGGTGTAAGTTCCTTGAGTTTTAGTTGTACAAAATTTGTCCCAATTTGTTGCATTATGTTGAAGGATATGAATGTCTACACTTTGATATTTAACTTTTTAATAATCAACCCGTGTAGTACGCGAGTCTCACACCTAGTTTTTTCTAACATTTTAAATCTTCAAGTTTTCGGATGTTGTAAAATGCAACTCAACTGGAATCTTGTTATTTATATTTATCCATAATCCAAATGTTGACTACTAATCTATTTCATTACGAATAAAGTCAATACCTCATTCATTTTAAAAACATAACTAACTATTATTATAAAAGCTTATATGACATATAGTCATGTATTAAAATTTAGTTTCACAAAACAATCAAAGGATTATCAAAGTTTACAAACTATAGGGTTACAACATAATACCATAACCAAATTTAAATCAAACATTATATCTATCAAAGTTTCCATCTAAGTCCAACCTTGTAGTCCTTAGCTTCTGATTCTGAAAACATAATATATTTTAAAAGAAAATACGTAAGACAAAAGTCTCGTCAGATTAGAGCCAACAAAAAGAAGCTAAAAACATAATTTCAAAACAATAATAAACCTCATCAATTCATAAAAAAATCACTAACAAAAACTCATGGGTTATCCCGTAACAAATGGGGAGTCAATACCCTTTTTTGGTTCACAGCAACTCCTTACTAACCACAGGAGAGCTAATCTCATTGTGGTCGATGGAGAGTTTGTACTCTATACACCTTGATAACTACTTTACGAAGAGATGTATCATCCCAATAGTATCTCATTCGTTCCATTAAGGGAACATGTACAGACCTTTCAAAAAGCAAAAAACACATTCATAACATAAAACATAAAACCCAATCTATGAGTAAAACTAATTACAATCAATAAACTGATGGCATGCTAAGCTTTCAAAACATTACTACTAGCAATTCCTTTTAAATCAATTCACATACGAACATAAAGATTCAAGTCTCAAAACATTTGACATCAAATACATTCATATGAGAAGACTTGTTTTGTTATGTACCCATAAAAATTCATATGTACTCACCTTGTGTGATTAAATGAGCTTGATATACATCCATTATCCCTTGTCCTTCTTTGAATCGTTTACGAATTCAAAACTTATGGAAATTAAATTTCCATTCATACATATTAGGATATGACTAAATTCACATATCATAAAAGTCTTCATCTTATGCTTTACAACTCTTTTTTTTTAATAAAAAATAAGGCATATTTTAAATTTCTTAATCCTTTGTCTTAAATTTAAATTCTTTAATTAAAATAGTGATATAATAGGATCAAATGCATAATCAAACTTGTAATATGAAGCAACAACCTCGTGTTAGCTTCCTACAAAGGGAGAGATATTAATCTCTTAATAACTCATGAAGAATTTACTAATTACCTATAATTACATGCTAATCACATGATTAATTAATAACTTGTACTATGCATCAATAACTTGTACTTTGATTAATCATCAATAATATAAGACTAAAGCATGTTAGTATTCTTTGATAACATTATAATCACCTCCATGTAGTAATTATCTCAATCTAATTTCATCATGCAAGAAAATTCTCAAAATAGGGTTTATTAGCTAATATGGACATTCACCAATCTTAATTCATACAAAATATAAGGAATAGAATAATACCTTATTTCCTTCACTTGAGTGGCAAAATCCTTTTGTTTAATCTTGATATCATCTCGACATAATAAATACAACAAGAACACACATAAACACACACATTTAACACTTAGGGACTATTTGATATCTTGTTGACCTGGTCCGATCAGTACTTGTGGAATGACTCGGTCCGGTCAGCCTGTTTAATACACATAAAAAATGCTTCTGACCTAGTAAGTAATAACTGACTCGATCCTATGAAAAAATGATGTTGGCCTAATATTTTTGGGTTTAATTATGTTGGTTCCCTAATAGTAACATGCACCCTTTCAAAAATCTTCCTATTTTACTACACAATGTCTTCAAACTATGCTTCACTCTTCCTCCCGTTGACCATGTTTGTTGCCTCTAACTCGAGCAGAGGCTCCGCCACAAGCATGTGATTCTTCTACAGTTCATTTTTTCTTCAAATTTATCTCATCGATTTACAATATGTTTTGCAAATTTAACGTAAATAAACCCCTTGATTTTTTTTTAGTTTAGATAGGTTTGGAGTAGTTTCCAAGTTAGGTGATGTTTGAGTCTTAGTTAAATAAGATATATAACAGTTAGATGTGTAGTCAATATGTGGCCTTTGAGGTTTGGTTTATTAGCCCCCGAGATAATGTTACATCTATTCCACCTGACGCCTAATGAATCAGATTAAAATGGGAAAAACTCCATTACATAGGCTTCATCGAAAGTCATTGGCTCAATTAGTGACCTTTAAGACTCTGAATACTTCAATGACTTTCATCACAAATCAATAATTATATTACAAATAGAGTTACTAAGTTTATTTGCTTCTTTATATGTGTCTATTTGTGAATAGTCAATAAATAGAAAAACAAATAAAAATTTAAAAATCTAAGTAAATATACAAAAGAAAAAGAGAATAGTTCTAAAAAAGAAAAGAAAAATGAAAAAAATAAGAAAAGAGAAACAAGAAAGGAAATAAATAAATAGTTATATGTTAGGATTATATAGATATAGTATTTTATTTTAGTTTGATTCATTTAAAAATTGGGCAATAAACTTTGAGTTTGGATATTTTTTGAATAGTATATTTCTAAAGTGTGAAAGAAATAAGTGAAGTTGAAGTTGGTGATAATTGTTTGTAAGGATAAAGAGTATTTGAAACTCGAAAATTTAAAAGGATCATCACACAAATATATGTTTGATCTAAATATGATTGATGTCTTATCTTGAATTGTGCTTTATGACTTTAATGAGTGATGTTATGTTGGATTACTCTTGAGATATAATTGAAAATTGTCCGAAGTGATTCCAGTTTGCTTGAGGACAAGCAACATCCAAGTCTGAGGTATATATATATATATATATATATATATATATATTATATATATATATATATATATATATATTATATATATATATATACACCCCGCACATGGACTTTGCTTCTATTTTGAGCTTAATGGACATACTTGAAGATAAATGATACTTAATATTCTTCGAATTTGTATCTTATAAACTTGTAGTTGAGAAGAATAAGGAAGGTGAATGGAACTGAAGAGAGTTGATAAGGACCAAAACCTCAAAGTTATACACACGACCCGTAGAGATTAAAGTCTCTAAAACATATACATTAACCTCAAAGAACACAACGCATACAATACCATTATGCATCATGTTTGGGCTGGAAACTGATTTGATAAATAGAGCCTCTCCTCAACCCTATAAAATATATAACCTAGTGCAACAAGTGAAGTTACGATTTTTGAAGACCAAAACCCTTCTGGAAACTGAAGAACACCATTGAAGCATCAGTTT